AACACATGACCCCTAACTGAAAAGGTCGGTGGTTCAAACCTACCAGTCACTTCTAAGAAACCTTACATAGGGTCCCTATGGTTTGGAATTGACTCGGTGGCACTTAACAACAACAGAAACAAGGAGCTATAAGAGTCCCAGAGTGGAGTAAGCAGTTAATGTGCTCAGCTGCTAACTGAAAAGTCAGAAGTTCAAGTCCACCCAGAGGTACCTCATAAGAAAGGCCTCGCAATTTACTTCAGAAAAACATCCATTGAAAACCCACCCTATCAGGCACACCTGGACTCGAACACATATGGAATTGACTTTAAAGCAACTATTTTATTTATATTATTATGCAAATGATGTTTAACTATTTGGTGTGGCAATTAATATAAGTTTACTTATTTATTTGGTTTCAAACATCTTATTGTGAATTGGGTGAAGGTTTACAGCACAGATCAGCTTTCCATTCAGCAATTCACAGGCCTGGAAGTGAATTCACCCCATGGCTCAATTTTCAGTCAAACAATAGACCTTTCTATACCAGGAACAATTACATCAGGGAGGGAGCACACCTTAGAGTAAGCAACCATTTGAGATCAAAAGGGCAGCATTTTCCCAAGACAAAATTCAGAAGGGTTCGTTTAAACGGAGAGATGGAAACAGGAAACACAAGGAGGAAATGGCAATTGTTTTTTTAAGGAGTTATTAACCGAATCCAGGCCTCCTGAAGCCTCATCAAAGGCCCCATCCCACTATACCATATATCAAAATTTGAGGCATAAACTTGCTGTTGTTGTTGTTAGGTGTCATCAAGTCGGTACCAACTCAGCACCCCTATGCACAACAGAACACAACACTGCCTAGTCCTGGGCCAACCTCACAATCATTGCTACATTTGAGCCCACTGATGCTGCCACTTGGCCAATCCATCTCGTTGGGGGTCTTGCTCTTTTTCTCTGACCCTCCACCATACCAAACACGATATCCTTCTCCAGTGACTGGTCCCTCCTGACAATATGTCCAAAATATGAGAGACAAAGTTTGGCCATCCTGGCCTCCAAGGAGCACTCTGGCTGCACTTCTTCCAACACAGATGTGTTTGTTATTTTGACAGCCCAGGGCCCTTTCAATATTCTCCTCCAACAGCATAACTCAAATGCATCAATTCTTCTGCGGTCTTCCTTATTCACTGTCCAGCTTTCGCATGCATATGAGGTTATTGAAAATACCATGGCTTGGGTCAGGCGCACCTTAGACTTCAAGCTGACACCTTTAATCTTTCTTCAACATTTAAAAAAAGCCTTGTGCAGAAGATTTACCTAATGCATAACGTAACATCCAGTTATTCAATTTTGAATAAATGAATGAAAGACTGAGAAAATGAATGTTTGTAGACAGAGATGACATTTAAACATACAAAACAAAACAAAGGTGGAAGGCTGACACCACCTGACCTGAGAGGTCTATAAATCTTCAGCAATCCAGACAGTGTGGTATTGGCCTAAGGAAGGACAAACAGAGCAGGGAACAGAATAGAGAGTCAGAGAAAGACCCACACTTCCACACTTCCATGGTCATCTGGTTTCTAACAAAGGCACCAAAGTCAATTATGTTGGAATAACTGGATATCTAAATAGAAAAAAAATAATAAAAGAACTTCAACCTCTACCTTACACTGTTCACAAAATCAATTTGTAATAGACCACCGACAAAAACATTTAAAAGCTAACACTTTTCTTCATTCAGAAATAACCATCAAATAAAAATTGTATACATTAGATTTCATCAAAATTAAAACCTTCTCATCAAAAGACACTATTGCTCAGTGCACTGAAATTACGTAATATGAAATGGTTGATGTCCAACCGTTTCGAGAGGTAGCATATGATCAAGAGCCAGTGATACTGAAGGAAGAAGTCCAAGATA